TTACCCGCCGCGAACACCAAAACAACACGACAGGGACAATAGACGCTTTCATATTTCCTCATTCAATAGAAGGTTGCCGAGTGGTTTATCGCCTGCTTTTATTGCCACATCTGGTTCTCTTTTTCGTAGTTTTTCTTTGAGTGCGTTATGTCTGCAAAGCAACTAAGTAGGTCACATAAAGCCCCACCGTGTGAAGTGCTACAATATGCTAATATACACAGAGCCTGTAACAGGTATACAGCCTCCCTTGGTTTTTGTCATGTTTGAGTGCCACACAACACAAAGAACAAGGGTAGCATTTGGTTGTTTCCATCCTAATTACTACCCAGTTTTCCCCTTTTGAAAGTCAGATGGCTGCAATGCTTGTTTAAACAGATGAAGGAAGGCATGTCGCAAAACGCCAACATTTTCACTACCCGACCTGTTCTTCGGCATTTTTCTCGCTATAGGCTTTGTGCTATCAGCAGCAGAAGACTGAAACCTTTTGAGGAAACCAGGCCTCGCTCGGCTAAACAGAAACATCACCGCGGGCCTCCAGCAGCTGTTAACCAGCTCTCCAGAAGTGCATTTTTGTAGCTGCATAACATCGGCGAGGGTCCATAATAAAGAGGACAAAATTCATCTAGATAACGTGGACATGTGCATGACAATGCAGCAGCTATAACACACGATTCAAAAAATAAATACATAAGTTCTATCAATTTGATGTAAAATGATTGAGAGGGGAACCAAAGCAGTTGTAAATTAACAAATTAAAAACTATAACTAAATCCAATGTGTATTTCTGATCCCGTTGAAGACCAGTCTGCTTTTCTATTTTCCCGAATAAGCTGCGTATGAACCTTTCATTTTAGATGATAATGAACCTCCGTGTGCAGTTTACTCATTTTTATAGGATGTGTCGCAGTAAATCATTAACCGACGGGACACTATATGTGGTCCCAATTCAGGCTTCAAGTGGCGCTTCCTGATCTGAATGAGGTTTGTGGTCCACGTAGAGACCATGATGAGCATCACAAATTAAATGATGAACAGTGTGGTGACTTGCGGAACACAATAAACAAACACAATATACGTACCAGCATATATCAGTTTCAGCCCAGCAACTGAAAAGTTGTCCTTTCCTTTCTCCTGTTCAATCTTCTCTTTTAATGTCTTCACCTGTGGGACAAAAATCGGACTTCTTAATCGGTATTGGCGCCACTGTATTGATCAGCCCAAACTAACGTTAAGCTAATAGCATGACTCGGATAATAAAGTTCAAAGTGTGTTTCGTAAAAACTGGAGTTGAGTAGACACATTGCTGAGAAACCACGTGAAATCACAGATTGATTGCATAACCGCGTCGTATTCCTTAAAGAAAAAAACAAGCTAATGAAACTAGAAAACAGTGTAACGGTAATTTGTCCCTTAAGTGGGCTCCGGCTAAATGCTGACAATACAAACTGACGTTACTTTTTCTGACCAGCAACGTTATTTAATAAATAACACTCATCTTTTTCGAGCCCGTTGTCTAACACTTAACGCTAAATTAACCTGAACACTCTGTTCCTTCTAAAATATATCCGCTGTGCTAACGCATCTGTCGATCGTCTGATTTGAAACGGGCGAAAACAAAAGTCCTCCGTTCCAGGACATACCCAACTCCCACTCCATCCCCTTCCACCAATGCATGGCTGCAACTCTCACCGTCTCCTCTTCGTCGATGTCGATTTTGAACGTCTGCTGTTGTAAGGTTTTCAAAGTTATCTGCATTTTGTCGTTTTTTTTAATATGTATTCCTCAGGGACCAGTTTTAAACGATGTAGGTCGGAAGTAAGACTCTTGTCTGTTTTTGTTGGCTCATTACAAACTGTCAGCCGCCATGACTTTTCACCTTTCTTCTTCTGTGTGAGGAATTTAAACTACAGTATCTAAGCTACAGCGCCCCACCGGTCGGTCCTGGAACTGCAACACAAAATGACCGACGGCTGTGGCAGTTGGTAGTTGGTAGAATTCTCATCATATCCTTCACATAAACGAGTTGCTAACGCTTTATTTAAAATAGGTGTACGCTAAGGAAAAGTCCTGCTTTCAACTGATTGTTGTCAAGTGATTATCACATGAATGTACAAATGTCCAAAGTAAAAGTAACGTCCGCTCTCTTAAGTGTTTTACAATTAAAATATAATTGTTTGGGATCAACAATATTGGTCTATTAACATACAAACGACAAATATTATAGTTACATGGAGACAATTAGCGGCTTCATACACTTGTTTAATATTACAATAGGTGTTTCCTATTAACTATACTACCTGCAGTATTTCAAGTGCATTTCCATTTGAATAAATAAGAATAAAGACAAAATACATTCAACACTACAAAACTATTAGCCAATCTAAGTATTGTATTATTAAACAACAGCGTTGATAATTCCATCCTAACCAGTCCCTCATGAGTTTACTTCTTAAAAGCATTTTATGGGCAGTATTTCTTAAGACACAGTGCATGGAGGGTAAATTACTTGAGTAGAATAGAGAAAGATACGGTAATAGAGAACAATGCTTTTTTACCCGTTAATCTCAATGGCCAATTTGCTGTCTGAAGACTCCTTGACAGATTTTACTTTACTACTTACTTTTAAATTGACATGTGATAAAAAGATGCTTTTCATTTTACCATTTGAATGTTGTTTGTTGTTGTGCTTTGTCGTTATGTTCCTTGCAGAACTGACCGTGGTGGAATAAACATGCTCCCATTAGCGAACTTGCGTTCAAAATCCCAGGTCTCATCAAGCACGGAGGAATTTCAGTATCATCCATCCAGCGCTCAGCATCCAGAGGCTTTATTATCGAGCTCTACCTCACATGCTGCACCGCTCACAAGCTGACTGAGAGGACTGTTAAGTGCCAGAAACAATATGCTGCATGGAGCTCAATGGCGTCTCTTCCCCGCGCCACCTTTTCTCCTCATTCTCACATCACTCCACCTCCCTTTTCCATCACCGTGTGCTCGAATCCGTCAAATCTCTCACTCCTCTCAGACGTCCTTCGCTCTTCTTCTATCCCCAACTTTCTTTTCGGTCGTTCCCCACGACCCCCTCCTGCCCCCCCTCGTCTCCAGTCAGCCAGTTCATGCGTCAGGAGCTGTGCCCTTCGCCGCCTCGGCTGGAGCGTAGAGGCTCATCAGGCATTCCTCGCGTTGCTCCACTCAGCAGCAGCAGCGTCCTCCCTTCCCCTCTCCCCCCCCCCCCGCCGCGGCTGTGGCTCTTGCTCCCGTCTCCAGGGGTCGTCAGTCTGCCGTCGGGCGCCCCTCTGAAGTGGTGAGCCACAGAGATTACAGGCTAATCCCTGGTGACTTGGAGATATTTTTAAGAGATGATGTTAGACATGTGAAATAAAGACTCGGCTCCTGAAACGGGGCGGGAGTGGAAATGTTCGGAGGGCACACGCGTGGAGTTGAAGAGACAGTAGCGATGGATTCCTCCAGTTGTTTGTTTTTTTGAGATCTGTGGAGGTAATGAGAAGATTAAATGACCAACCGGTGAAAGACAAAGCAGATGCATGGCCATCTCGGTGACTCGTGGTATTTAGGGCACACACACACACAACTGGCATCTGCAGGGTTTGCGGTTTTGGTCAGCAGAGGGGGTGCGGGGTGGAGTAAAGACCACGAGAGAGAGAGAGAAACAGAAGGGTGTAGCAGAGAGAGCGAAGGCCACTGAGATGCCTTCTCAGCCCGGAGCTATTTCCTGTGGACGAGCTGCTGGGACTATTATCGGTTATTTCAAGGCCTCTGCGGCCACGTTACAGAGGAAATCCCTCACGTCACTGAAAACGAATGGACAACCACATATTTATTTACTCCTTCCTCAATCCATTGTTTCCACGCAGTGTCATCAACAACACAAAGGCCCAAGTGGTGGTCGTGTCTATCCGACTTTACTATAATATAAACTATTAAACATTTAAGACAGAGTAAGCAGGCATCATTTTAGTACATACAACATGTTAACATATGGTGTGTTAGCATCCTAACACTGGCTAATTAGTTCAAAACACAATGCACAGCGGCCTTCGGGTGTTTGGGTTCATATGAGAGGGAACTTCGTATTCACCCTCCATGAATGTCTAACAAACATCGTGGCAATCCAACAAATAGTTCTTAAGATATTTCCGTCTGTGCCAAGGCGGTGGACCGGCCTGGTCCACATGTCTGGAAATACCGCTTTACAATGACCTACCCGTGATTGGAATTCCTTAAATCTTTTTTTTTTATTATTACTCTATGCCAACCCTTTTTTTTTGTGTGCCTCCACATGGAGACAAATAGTTTAATCGATGTAGAAAATTTAAAAAAAATCGGAGGCATGTAGTGGATTTGCGGTTTGGGAAAGGTCGACCTCTAATCAAAAAGGTCAAAAATCTGAACTGTGGCAGAAAAAGTTGGATTAGGACAGTAGAGAGAAAACGCTATGAAACATTTCAAAGACACAAGGTCCATCCAGGTTATGGTTTCATCACACAGGTTTAAGGTTTGAAAAGACATGAGAAGAGAGACAGAATGGACTTAAAGTAGTTAATAAGTTAGTGGTGGATAATAAAAAAATTGTAACAATTAAAAAAAGATGCACTTTTTCTGAACAGCGCTTCCTTTGCAAGGTCACTTCACTAGTGTGATCAAACTCAATAATGTTAGTTTCTTCAGGAAAAGGGCAATGAAGATAATTTGATTTAAAAACGTTGCTTCGCCCTCGACAGTCGAAGCACTTCTCTTGCACCAAATTCTCAAACTGCTTTTCAGGAAGCTTGCTTCTCCGTCGCTTTTAACAGTTCAACATCTCCACGGATATAAATAGCTCGCTGATGTAGAGGCCAGCGGAAGTTATATATACATATCATTCACAAGGAAGGGATATTATGAGTCGTATCAAGCGGCAGTTTGCCGATAATATAAGGAGTTAAAGTGCAGTTAGTCACACTGTTAAGCCACAACTTCGTACAAAGAGATAAATAATATGAACCTTTATCTGATAACTTTATTATCAAGTTAAAAAAAGACAATGAATTACAATATTTACAGAATATCCAGAGATAAATGGAATAAAATTGTAAACAATCATTCTAGGCAACATCACAACCCACCATCAGGTAATCAGATTTATATGGGAGGAAAGGCAAGAAGGAGAGATTCTAGTGTCAAACTATGGAGGCAACAGTCTGAAAAGAGAACTTCATCAGAAACAAACTAAACATATATACAAGTATCCAGTGTGTTGTCAGCAGGGGCTTCACTTTGGGTAAACTGGGAATATTACAGTCCAGCGACTGAACACAGTGTGGGATTCATAGTCCTTTTCTATTAAACCGATCACAGAACAACAATTTTGGGTCGACAGCTTCGTTACCCAGATTGTCCCAATCCGTCGTTGTGGCTTCCACTGGGCAACGAGCTGCCTTAACAAAGCTTATTTCTACAACAACAGTTTTACTCTTCAAAAAGCTACACGCTGGTCCTGAAAAACAGAAAAAAACAAAAAAGGGCTTCAAGATTCAGCACCAACTCAACAGTTTTTTTTCTGTTTTTTTTCTTTTCTTCCAGGTATTACAAGGACTGAGGAGCATTAGTGGGGCTGCTACATTCCCACCTCCTGCTGTTTGGGTAGACTACATGTAAGGGAAGGCCTATTTGGAGCAAGTCAGCTGACGTCCTTACTGGTCGTGGATAGGAGATACTGGTGTGGACATGAGTCAGCTACATCTCGGAAGGGTCTGCGGGTCAACTGGCCGATCCAGGAAAAGGATCAAGTAGTTCGGCCAAATGCCCCTAAAAAGGATTGACATGTTTTCCTTCTTCACAATAAAAGCCCAGTCCATTCATTCAGAGATAAATGCATACTTTTCCTTCATGTGTTTAAATATTGTACAACCACACTTCCGATGTGCTTCTTCCCAATACAGTACAGAAAAGGAAATATTTCTCATTATAACCGGATATTGAACAACAGTGTAATAATATTGGGACTGGGGATTCAAAAAGCCCCTAAGGGTTAGCTATCGTCTTCAGATTGGTCTTTTCTTCTTCTGAAAAACTAAAACAAAAACACCTAAAAGAACAAAAGGGTGAAAGTATCCTTTCCGAAACACCACGCTTAAAACACTGAACAAGTAGTTTTGCTTTCTATACATGGCTGCAAACGTGGTTCACCTGCGTTGCAAACCCAAATTTCTGATTTCTGTCAAAGGTTTAATAATGAAGATAAACACAGCAGTCTTGGTAAATATTTTGGTACTACAGGTTTAAAAATTGTCTATCAGCCATATTATTTCAGATTGTTTCATGTTGCTTATTGGAATTGGGCTTGCATTTGACTTAATTGCTATTTATTATCTTATAAGGCTTCAGGGTATTCAAGTGACTTTCAACAAATACAATCTCTGCCGTTTGTCAGTATCCACAATAACATGACGACTTTATCTAAAAAGAAGCACACATATCCAGGCTACGACAGTGGTGCCGATACGGAATTTAAAAGGACTTTTTAGGATTTGGTGGAAACCAATGATTTTAAAAGGTTTTCTGTGTCGGTTACACTTGTCTTTTCAGTGCATTCCATTACTAAAAAAGCGGCACCACGGATCGTAGAAAAGCACATCTGTGCTGTGGCGAAGGGACGCCTCCGAGCCAAGATTTGAGTTTCATGCTTAATGTCAGCCTGTCAGTTGTGCGCAGTTCAAACATCTGGATTTGGGTGGTGTGTAGGGGCCTGGATGGAGTTGAGGTAATCATCACCAGGGCTGACTGTGAAAGACTGAGACATCTGTCAATCGAGCAAACATGACTCCAAACATACCCAGTTTAGTGGGGAGTTTCATTTGTCGTGCTCGCAACATTGGAAAAAAAAAATCTTTCTCCATAAAAATCTTTCGTTTCCCTTTCGTTCTGCGTAATGTAGCACGACGCTCAGATAACACTACTTCACCGGGACGTTTTGTTTGGAGGAAAGCAGTTCTAACAAAATCTGAATTTTCTCAAACGCTGCGAGCAAAACAAATTGAATTCTACCAACGTCCATTGAATCAGCAAAAATCTCAAAAAAAGGATTCCTCAGGACTGGCCATCACCATCACCATCACCGTCCTCTTTGGTGTTGTTTGCTGTCAGAATCGCCACCGGGAGACGAATTAATAGAACAAAAAATGAGCTGTTGAGGCCAGAAATTATGGAGAATCATTTTCAGATATCAGGGGTGATTGCATGGCTGCCTCAAATTAGCTCAATAAAAATAGGCAAATGAAGCCATTTACTGGCCATTAGAGGAACTGGATTCGTAAGGCACTTTTGCACTGGCTTTAACAATCAGCCGAGGTGGTTTAGTTATCATTGCGATGGACGTGCAGACACATCAGGATCCAACTCTCACTGAAAAGACAAGTGTGATCTCGGTCTATTGATGACGATGACAAATATTACGGCACTGTTGTAAAAAAACAACAAAAAAAAACAACCTCTAGTTATGTTCCAGGATGACGCTTTCTCTGCTCAGTTTTAACCGAATCCTGTATCATGACACATTTAACGTATCTTTGTTGTTATATTGATCCTCAGAGTGCACAGGTAGATGTTGTTTAACCTGGACTACGAACCACATCGTTTACCTAATCCCATTATTAGCATTTTTCCCCATCATGTGAATTACTGGACAATGAAATATCACCGTCAAAATGCAAAAGGGTGCCGCAGGCTGAAGGCTTATACGCAGTATAATATTAAGGGACCTAAAATATAGCAATTTGCTACAAACATTTGGGGGAAAATGTCAGCATTTCGAAAAAAGAAAAAAAAGAAAGAAAAAATGATTTGTGGTTTTACTGAAATGGATAAGGTGCGATTCTTTCTCGAGGGATACTTCTACACACTTAACACAAAGGCTAAGATGAAAAAGAGTCTCACATTTCAACAAGAAACAATAGGTAGCTCTACAGTGGGCCACTGTTTAAATGTTTTCATACTACGTTTGTTCAATTTAGGTACATTTACAGTACCCCTGTTTTGGGGGGGGGAGTGTAAAAGGTGCTTCAAATAATAAAATACTAAATTTAGTTAATCATTTTGGACATCGCCGTCAATAAATAGCTTTGTTTCATCTAGGTGGGATCTTTCACTGTAGATTTGACCAGAATGTCAGCAATAAAGAGTTCTGTTCACTATTGGTTACCAATATATTAAGATCTGTCCTAGGGGACTGCCCATTTAAAGAGCTTAGCCGTTTAATGCATCACAATCTAATACTTAAATATTTAACACCTAAACTCTAGTAATGCGCCAACTCGTACAAAGTCACTTTTTTTTTTTCTCAGTTTAAATCATTTTTGTTTCCTTTTACGATTCTACTCAGTGCTGATCCTTCCCCCCCACGCTTATCATTTTTTTAGCACATCATCCCAACAGGCCACAATCCCTTCAGCCAAACTCTTGATCGTTTTTGGTGTCGAGCTTGTTTTGGCCTTCCACGTACTGGCCGGGGCTCCCCAGCGAGAGACCTGCAGGTTTCCCTTTCTCGTTGCCGTTGCTGGACGGGTCCAACCCCGTGTCAGCGAACACGCAGGAGCCAGTGGAAGATGAGGCGGAGGCCTCCAACGCGGAGGTGTTGCTGGAGTCCATGTTGGTGTGATTCACCATCCTAACAAACGAGGGACGGAGCAGAAAAAAGGGCCTTTTTTTTAGATATGAAGGTGACCATATTAAAAAAATAATTCTGTTTCATTAGCATGATTGTATAATAATACAAAATATGCAGCATCCTTTATAAATAAATGTCAACCATCCAAACAGTCAAAAATAATATATATTTTTTATCGTCTTTAATGGTTATTTGGCAAAAGGAAGATTCCGTTTTTATTCAAGAAAAAAAAATGTGAAGATGAAGAAGTAGCCCAAAGTACTAACATGCCGTGTCGCTGCACGTGGCGTTCCCACTCCAGGCTGTTGGTGAAACAGCGGCCACAGAACTCACAGGGAAGCCGCTTCTCTGCACTGCCGGGCGCCGAGTTGTTGCTGCCGCCGCCGCCGCTGCTGCTGCTGGTGGGGGACGCAAGGATGTCTGGGAAATAGATTTCACATAATTGGTCAGTCTCAACGTGGTAACGAGGTTTCATTTTCTCTGCAAGATTTGAAACCAGGCGAAATACGAATCGCTACGTTTTTTTAAATAAGCCGGTGATCAGTATTCCACGCGTCACAAAGTCATCCCTCCTCCGTAAAACAGGGAGGATCAGAACAAAATCTGCGTTCGCTTCAGTGAACAATCAATACCAGCCCAGTGTACTTGGGTAAGGCTGAGGCTCTTTTGGAAGAGAAAAGGACTCGCTAAAACACATTTAAAGAAGCACGAGCATGCGGACTAGAGACCAGGGATCCAAATCCAGCTCAAAAGTTTTGTTCATTAGAAAAACAAATGTGAACTTGAAAGTTTTGGTCTTAAACATTGGAAAATACAACAAAAATAAAAATAAGTACATAAAAAGTATTTTGGGGCTGAATATAGTTTGACCCTGTTCTATAATTCTTTTTGATTACACGCCCCTCCCAGTTGATGCCCCGCCCCCGACGCCACATCAGGGTCAAAAGTCTGAATGTGAAAAAAAAAAGATCCGAACCCCAAAAAAAGATGTGAAAGTGAAAATATAAGTTTTGAATCTGAAAATTAAAATCTGCAACCGAAAAATACAATAAACCGAATATCCCAAAAAATACATATAAGTGAAGATTGAAAAAAAGACACATTTTTCAAATGATAATATTTTTTGACCTGGATTTGGCTCCATATGAGACAGCGTTCTTACTTATAGGCCCATTTACTTGGATTAGAATGAGACACAAGAGAGTCTTCACAAATTTCATAATGTTATGTAAAATTACTCTGTAGACGACAGAAAATGGCTTCTCAGCAGATATTCATCCATAGTGTAATCCCAGGAGGGTTTTGTAGAGAAATGTGTTGTGCATCGACTCAGAAGCAGCAGTTAAAAAGTAGTTATGTTCCAGAGTGAGAGTTATATCTTTGTTATTTCAGCAAACACTGGTCGTTGTGTTTGACGGTCAGAATGAAATTGTGCCCTCGGATACCTTGATGAATCCGAGCAGATATTTTTTAGCTCAGTAGAGCAACGAAGATGACCTCATTTTCATTTACCTCGTATGCCGGGCTTCTCCTCCTCCAGCCTCGTGACTTCCTCTTCATCATAGTCTTCCTCCTCCTCCTCCTCCTCCTCTTCCTCTTTAAAGTGGTCCTCTATCTCTTCATCGTCTGTCTCCCTCTGCTCCTCCACCATGTTTTCCATAATCTCCATTCCTTCGTCGTCCTCGTCCTCATGTGCAGCTTCCTTTCCATCTCCGACCAACTCCATCATCATCATTTCTCTTTCTTCCTCCTCCTCCTCCTCTGCGCTGCTCCCTCGTTCTTTTATCATCTCCAGCTGCTCCAGGTTGACGCGGCCCATCAGCTCGAAGTTCCGGATAACCTGGTCAGAATCAGGAGGTCTCATAAGTTTGGTGTGGTACAGATGCAACATTTGCAAAACAAATCATCTTTCCCAATTTCAAATCAAATTAATTTCACCTAAAAGGGGAACACATAAAAAAAGATCTTCACTCCGACCAGAGGTGAATTTGTTAACGAATCAACAAAAAAAAAGGAAAAATAAGATTAAGGATTTTGACGACAAAACCATCTCATTTCGTTACATAAAGCGTCCTGTTGCAAATGATGTCACTCTTCTTTCTAAGCCCTCCTCCCACACTCCCCGAGGACTGCAGCGTCCCTCCCAGCAGACGACGCTTCATACCATGAGTCGGCGCTATGTGTCACCCAGGAGGAGCCCGGTTGTCTATATAATACATTCATATACACATTTGGATGTTGTCTATATAATAAATTTATATATAATACATTTACATAGACAGAGGGATTGATATGAAATATGTAACCCTAACCCTAGAAGAGGGTGCTAGCAATATTGTTTACGTACCGGCTTGGTTTGCCCATTTGAATTTTATCGGATGAAAGTTTGAGGATTTTAAATAAAGTAATTAACAGCGCAGGGATTCGTGCATTTTTGGGGTTTAATCCAGCGTATCAATGCGATGTGCATTAACTTTGCAGTTAATGTGACCTTGAACTACAATACACAACATCAAGGAATCATTTCAGTTACTTTATTGTGTGTTAGTGGTTCAAATTGACTGTAGGCAAAGAGCTTTCTTTCTGTCTGCTTTGGGGAATTGGATTTGGAATGTGGCCAGTTGATTAGCACGGTCCTCAAAACCCATAAAACCAGCAAAGGGTCATATAGGATTTGATGCAGAGCTTATAATGAATGTACAAGATGTGAATATATCATGTTACAGCCATTAAGCAATTAATCAAAACGCGTTAGAATTCAATTCCCCTCCATATTGCAAAAATCTGTTCCGAGTATTGTTCCTTAAAACATGACGTGCGTCGCCACTGACCTTGTGCTCGAGGCGTAGATGCTCCTCTAGCTGGCTCCGTTGACTGCTGTCGTAGTAGCAGAGCTGGCACTGGTAGGGCTTGATCTCAGCGTGCTTCTGCAGGTGCAGCTGCAGGGCCTGGTCACTGGAGCACGTGAAGGTGCATTTGTGGCAACGGAACACGAGGCCCTGCAGGTGGCGCGACAGCTTGGAGCGGCTGACCTCCAGCGGAGCCACACGCTCCTCTGGTGGAGGAAAAAGGGAAAGAGTGAAGCGGATTATTGGATTTGAGGAAGGGAAGTAGCTGTAAGGCAGGAGGGAGCAGGAGAAGAGGTATCAAATGACATTTGTCACACAGGCATAGAAACGTCAAACCAGTGACCTGTAACACTGAAGATCTCCCAAAGAAAAAACGTCAGTGTCATTCCTCAACACTTGCTTTTAATTTGCATTTCAATTTGGTTCACACGCTCATATACTGCTTTAATTATTACGTACACAAAAGGGTTTCCGCTGGTTGCCTGGCAACCACGCGGTGAAGACAAGATTACGATTTAATGCACTCGACCAAAAGAGTGGTATCGGTTTCTCCGTGTGCCGTCTCTAAGCTCAATCCATTCACGCTCAGCGACGACGCAAATTGGCAAATAACTCCCCCGAAATGTGACGTGACGATGACATGACGTGTACCTCTGTGCAGGACAATGTGGTCAATCATATTGCTCTTGTGTTTGGTGTGGTAGAGGCAGAGGGGGCAGCGCAGGTCTTTGGGGAGGTTGTCGGGTGCGTTGTTGTTGTGACCGGCCTCCACATGCATGGTGAAGGTATTCCTGGGATGGATTCAGAGAGAGAGAAAGGGGGGGTAATGTCTCTATTAATTAACGTTGCATAAAGTCTGCAGCATCCAAACTCCCATAAACAGCATAAGTATGCAATACAATACATACAGTCATGGTCCGATTTCTCATTCCTTACTTGTAGCAGGTGAAAAAGGAACAGTCTTTGCACTTGAAGAGCTTCTTGCCGCCATGGCGGTCCCTGTAGTGCCGACGCAGGCTCTGCATGTACCCAGAGCTGAACTCGCAGAACTCGCAAGTGAGGATGCTGTCCGGTCGATGATCAGCCGCCGTTGAGCCTGCAGACATTTGACTGCGCGACGCTAGCTGGTAATGACTAAGCTGCTGACGAACGTCCGCCGGCTCCAGGTATGACGGATCTGAAGAGAGGGGGCAGAGAAACGAGAGACAATAAGACAAAACAGTTCACAGAGAAAGTGGAGCGGTTCGTAAAATACAGTGTATTACTACATGCGAGGCCCACCGAGGCCAAACTCTGCAATATTTCACCAAAAAGCAAGGATGAGGGGAAAAGCGATTTAGCCAAATGTACAGAAAAGGGGGAAAAAAATCTGCGTCACTTAAACAATCTACAACAAAAAGAATCTTCTAAAAATGATGCATCAGTATTCACACAGTATGTCACATGTAATTATACATGTACCCAGGAGCCTCTCGGAACTTCTGATTTGTTTTTAATGCCATGTTTCTTCAATGCAGGCAGTTTTACTTCTTATTGAAGGACACTGCCACTACTGTTTTATTTGCACAGTCAAGGATCTGTGCACGTCATCCACCTCTGGTTTGGAGATATTTTTCGAGTGAGGATTGTTTTTTGACACTTGTTCAGGATACCGGTGAACTTGGATGTTCTTTTCATTGGTTCTATTCATGACCTGGACAGGAAGAAACTGCTCTAACAAGAACACGTCTGTGTAATGAAAACTTTTCTCTGCTAAATTCAAGAGAATTATTTTGTTAGTTTTAGTCATCTAAGACTTATGTTATTGCCCTTGCTCCGGATCCTCCGGATGGATTTTAGCCTCTTCTGTTCTATTAGCGATGAGCGATGTTTTACAATTTCCTCAAAAAGAAAATAGCTGGTAGATAACGGTAGATTCTTTTCTCTCTTAAGGGGATCAAATGTCCCCTCACAGATAAGGAAGTATTACTACGACTGACATTAATTGTCCCTCTACCTCCTCTTAAGAGTGCATATCATCAGCGAGGAAGCTCATCTTGTCGCCCTACTTTGAGCCTCCAACAGATCAATAAATAAACCACAGTGACACAAATAGAATGTCTATCCGTGTGAAAAATGCCTCATTCAGCACTCCGACTATGAGGAAACACGGAGAGAAAAAAAAACGTGTACATTGTAAAATGCTTGAGATCCAGTTTCTCACTTTTGCAGAGTTAACGCAGGAATTCTCACAAATCAAACAATGCCACAGGTGATTCATGTTTAATGTCCTTCCTTCATCGTGGAGACGGAGAAAAAGTCAATTGTGTCTCGTTGTACGGTTTGAGGGTCAGCGCTGTCCATTATGTGCATAAATGAGAGGCGAGGAGATGGAGAAGACCGGGTGGGAAGGACATTAAAATAGATGCAGTGAGCTGACCTTGAAGCAAAAACCAAATAGTCCTTCCAAAACAAACCCCTCCATTCCACTTCAAATTTCAAAATTTAAAACATTTGACTGAAGGTAGCTGGTTTGGCACTGTAGAGAGACTCAATACTTGAGAGAGAGGGAGAGAGAGCGAGAGAGAGAGAACGAGCGAGAGAGCTTCAACATGTCAGCTCTGCTCTTTCTCACTGCTTCACTTGTCTCGGTGGGGCACAGCTGACGGTGGTGATTGAGGAATGCTGCCCTGCTTCAGCTCCAGGGAAGATTCCACAGCTCCGGCAGCAAGGTGACAGCTGCTGCCAGAAAACAGTGTGCGAGTTGCGCAACGGAAGGCCACTGAAACACCTAAAACACGGCTGCACAGTGAAGGCGCCTCTTTGATCGGAAATATTCCGTAAGAGGAAAGATGGCGTAACAGTAAAGGTTGCCAAGGAAGTCAAACTATTCAACCCCTACACACAATACTTTCCCAAAGGCTATGGGACTTATTTATCAACCCTAACTGCTGCTTCTGCATTCTTTAAAGGGAATTGAATGAATTACATTAATAGTATATTAGTAGTAGTTTGAAAACTCACCTGGCACACCAGAAAATGTGCACATTGAAGTGAAAATGTTGCCTTTCCGTTATACGTTAATAATATAGTAAGTTAAGTTATTTACTTGTTTTTTGTTTTATAGCGGATTACTTGGATCCTTGGATCTGAAGTAATTGTTCAAATCACAAACTATATTGATATTGTAAATAGTTTTTCTGACGTTGGTCAGACCTGCTGGTTCGACCTTCTCAAATGTGAGGATTTGATGCTTCCTTTGATAGTGTTGTTTAATAAATAACGTTTAATGATAGTCGAAATTCTTAGGAAATAAAGCACTCAGCCTAATGAATTTAATTAAACAAGATGTTTAAATACTTTTTCTGGTGCTGTGGGAAACCGTAGATACAAGCAGATATCTATTTCTAAAAACCTATAATTCACTTCTATTTCTATCAAACACCACTCAGAGTCTCTGCTCCAAAGTGATTCTAATTCGTGAGAATTCTGCCCTGATGCTCAAAGATTTTCCAGCTCCGGCCCCCGACGAGCCTGCGATGCGATCACATATCTGCCAGAATGACATAACGAGGGATCTCATACCATCCAGGGCCAAGGGGTTCTGCTCTGTGTTGCTGGGCAGCCGCGGGGGCCTCAGGGCACCGTGAGCAGCCTGGGTAGCAGCCCGGAGTTTGGGGAGGGTCAGCGCCTCTCCGTGGTCTCTCAGAGAGTGCTCCTTCAGCTGGCTGATGGTCATAGAGGAGAAGGGGCAAGACAAGCACTGGTATGTGTGCTGCTCACCTGGAGGCAAATAAAAACACGGCGGCCAAATGAACGGTACTGTACAAAAAGGCAGGACCTGGTTTATATAATGCTTACAACTAATCACAAATTACAAATCATATGAAATAAACACATGTACGCTTGTGGTGATGGATACTGTGGCTGTTTGACAGCTTTGGTAGAATTTGAAATGTAACCGCTGTGGATTTACAGCCTTTTTCTTCCTGCAGCTGATGAATACATTAGTTTATCTAACTAATGCAAGCAGCATCCTGGGGGGAGGAGCCATTACAACCAAATCTGAACCGCCAGTAACATCATCTTAGAGGCTGTTTACCATGAAAAACTACCTCTTTATTAAAATAGTTCTGGCCTGAACATGTTTGGAATACAGTTAGTCCTTAATGCTTAGTTTTGGACAGAACAAACTTCTTTTCAAAATACAGCTTGAACCTCTCTTCACAGGGGTTGCGATCCAAAATAATCTTAAGCATGTTGGGTAAAAATGAGGAAAAACTGAGCCACAATGATAAAAAAAAGGATTATTTATATCAAATCAACATGACTAAACTCTACTGTTCAAATGTAATCGCAAATCAAAAGTGGTATCCTGTGATATCCACAGTAGTAGTCGGGCTAACCATTGTTGCATTTTCATCATTTTTTCCCTACAAAGACAGAGTGCACTCAAAAGCCTTTTGATTATAGGCCTTTCTAGTTTTCAACTTTCTTTTGCTCACGTATTGATTTGAGCATTTTTTACATTTGCTCAATAACTGCAAAATCACGATCACAGGCAGAGAACCTTACTGACGACCAGCCTGCAACACGCTCAGGGTTTTAATTTCCGTTTTCCCCAAATAAATTAATCTGGGCTATTTACGCTACGAAAGCCAGATGTGATTATTTTGCAGGCGCTTGATTAGGTGCATCGAATGCACTCGCTGAAGCTGTTCCTCCAGCTAGGCCGTTGGTTACAATGAGAACAAAATCATGCATCATGTGCGTGCATCCGTGCGTTTCACTGTTTCTTACCTGTGTGTGCCTTATGCAGGTGGCTCTTCAAGCGACTCACGTAGGCAGATTTAAAGGGGCAGAGTTTGCACTTGAAGGGTTTGTGGTGCCCGTGGTGAGACTGCACATGTCTGTCCAGACTGCCGATGAGACAAAAAGACAAGAAAAAAAAAAACAGAAGGGAGGGTTTGAGATAAAAAGACACCAAAAGAATTGACAGAACGAGCACGAACGGAGAGCAAATCAGGAGATAAAGTGACAAGAATAGAGTACGGGAAAGAATGAGAGAGCGCTTTACTCAACATCTTCCACTTTGAAGGTTTCAACTGCTTATTTTTCCGCCTGCCTCACAAACAACAGCCGCACATGAACAATGGCTACGGAAGGAGAAGCCGTGGGGTGAACTCATCTTCCCACAATCCCTTGGTGGGAGTGGATGTGGGAGCGCCTGTGGGGACAGTGGCTGTGTTTTTAATTCCAGCCTCCTAGGTGGCATGGGAATTTGGCTTCTTTCTGGGTCAGGGCACATACAGTACGGAGGGATTACACCTGGGAGCTCACAGGAGATGAGGACTCCCACTCCCCCCCTCACCCCTCCTCACCCCCTCGCTCTGTGTCTCTGTGATGGATAAAACAAATCACATTACCAAAATATCTGTCTCGCTGTAATGTTGGTTTTACTCTCCTCAGAAGCAGGAAATCTTACAGAGGGATACAGAGGGATCGTGGAGGGTGAAGTGTACGCTGTTCTGCAAATCAACTGGTGCAGAGAGTTTAGAATACACATGCAAGTGTTTGCTGTTTGATGCGTAGGCCGCCATTTCCACACTGGATTTAAATATACTTCCCATGCATGACGGAGTCACAGGAAATGATGCATGCATGTCATCCAGCACCATGTGCACGAGTAAACACTATGTAGCGGTAAGTATTTTCCGCTGTGATCACAATGAACCCTCGTCGGCTGTCTCGATGCTTTTTCATACGTCAGATGATTCTTTAAAAGAACACGTGATGGGCCGAGGAAACCTCTGTAGCTGCTTGATAAGTAGTGCCCTCTATAACTTGGGACTTCTTGGAGACAGCTCAACCAGGACCAAAATCTCAAGGGTTACAACTTCTAACCTGATCTAACCTGACTGGTTCAATGCATCAACAAATCAACAGAAATGCTGTCGGGATTCTACTGAAGAAACGGGGAAGATTCTTCGACTCCTCTTACTCACTTGTGTCTGAAGGGCGAGACGAACTGGCAGTACTGGCAGCTGTATTTGTCTTCTCGGCTGAACAGCGCCATGGCCGAGTGGCTCCTCTCGTGGGACCTCAGTCCCTGCATGGACATGAAGACTCTGTCGCACTGGGCACACGGGTGACCCCCGGCCGCCAACCGCTGCTTCAGCTCGCCCTCCGACACCACGGCCCTCGCTGCAGCCACCAGGGCCGCCGCCCTCCCTCCGATGGCGCTCGGAGCCGGTTCCAGTGTCTCTGCGGGAACAACATCGCCGCCTGCCGAAGCCGTGGAAACGGAGGGCGGACCCGTCATTGTCGCCGCGGGTCCCTCGGGGCCGTCGGTTTCGGCCGCGTCTTCCCCCTCGAGGTCGCCATTGGTCAGGGTCTCTGAAGACGGGGTCAGCGGGACTTCGCTGACTTCCTGCTGCAAATACAAAAGAGGAGAAGTCTCAGAAAACCTCCCTGTATCTCAACTACGAACACTAAAAGTGAATACAATTAAGCTATCTACAAAAAGTAAATAAAGTAAATCACGATATGCATGTACTCCTTCATAATGATGTAGCATTACTAGTTGCAGAGAATGGGAGAATAATAAACTAATACTACACCAAATGCAAAGCAAAACTCCTCCATCTATTTACTCTACTGTCATCTGCTGGAGCGCTGGCTGGTTCATCTAGTCATCACAAGCAGACAGAAAATCAGCATGACTGTTTTACTGCCTCCAGGAAGCTCGTTCTCTCTGTGGAAGGGCCTGACCCTGCACTTCATGCAGCCATAAATAAGACGTGGCATCCACAGACCTAACCTTGCCACCCAGTCGGCCCTGACTGCACCGTCAGCACGTTTCTTTTTTTCCTTTTTATCCAACTCTATCAGAACCATTGCAGTTCGGAAGTTGAAACCATAAAAACAAATTGGTTTTTATGTTGACGTGTAAAACATACAGTAAATTCCATCTGCTGGAGCTGTCGTAGGCCATGAATGCTTCCAGTTAACCCCTGACCATGGCACGTTTGATCCCATGTACTGAATCTAAAAGTCAAAAAAGCAAATGCAATTTGAGACAGACCGTTTGGATGAGGCGTTGGATCCTTAAGGACTGTTCCCCTCACTGGGAGCCTCAGTGGAATACTAATGTATGAATGGTAACATGGCGCTGCCCTAAAAGTCCTTTACCCCCCAAACCTCCACCCCTTTTCCACTGCGGGGACAGCTTTGCTTGTTTTCTCTGGAGAAAGCTGACAGGCTGTCTACCCAGAAGCACGATCGGTTATAAACAAAAACAGAATCCAAGTCCAGTAAATCGACCAGTGCAAAGGAAAACGAGGAGTACTTTTTCAAGCTATAAACACCAGCGACAGTCAAAGTAGGCCGTGAGATAAAATATTGGTATGTTGATAAGATTGGTATCAGTAAATAATGTCTAGTTACATTTGCTTGATTTGTCAGAATTGACATTTTAGGAAACATGCTCATTCACCTTCTTGTTTGGTGGATATTTAGATTGATACCACTTTAAATTTAAAAACACTAAATATGAAACTAAGCTTATGCTCAGCTTAGATACCCAGCTGATGGATGGTGCTTCATATGAAATATGAAGTCGTATCATCAGACTCTCGAAAAGAAAGAATTCCGTTGATGCATTTCACAAACCATCAGGTAACTATTTTAAATAAATATGTTTTACATATGTGTCGTTGACATGTAAATATCTCAGAGTCAACGTTACAAATCTGTGGTTTAACACACTGCAGCAGCACGCAAGAAATCTCAAAATAAATCCAACTCGGTTTACCTTGACGTGTCCCTCTTTGACCTCCCCGTACTGCACGTGCTTCCTAAGGTGGTTGCAGATGGCACGCAGGGTGGGGTGCATCTCTATGCAGAAGTTACACCGGAACCCTATGGGAGCGTTATTTAACAGGTTTTCCTGTTTACAGACAAAGAATGACAAAAATACGTTTTTTATTAAGTTTTCATTTTCTTTTAATTTTTGGAATACACATCTAATTTTTAAGGATTTCTATTTTATATTATATTATTTAAAAGTTTAAGGGGGTAACAGTTGAACATTGTATTTGTATTCTCTGGACAGTTTTCTTAAATAAATAATAAAGATCATTGACATTCGGTCAAGGTACCGATCGTTTAACTAACTAATAACAATTTATGACCACTATATATTCCTGAGGCCCTTATCTCGGCTTACCTTCTCAGGTTTGGTCTCGGGATGTTCGGCGGCTTTCTGTTTGCTGAGCACCTGCCTCCTCCTCTCCTGCCTCATGGCCCTCTTCTGAAACTCCTCATTGTGGTTCAACAGATGTTTGGCCAGAACCGGGAGAGCCAGAAACTTCAGTTCACAGTGAGTACACTTGTACAACTCGGACTCCTCGTCCTCGGGCCCGGGCGACACCACGAAGTCTCTCTTCAGGTCGCTGCCGTGGTGATCGTTGTAGTGCATAGAGAGCAGCTCGCCCGTGCCAAAGGACGACTGGAAGCATTTTAGACACTTGAACGGCAGCCATTCGACCCCCCTGTCCGGCTCGGGCTCAAGCTGGACCTCCGACGCGTCCCCGTCGTCCTCCGCAATCGCACTGCCGGCCATCTTCTCGGCTTCTTTGGCATAGATAACGGTGAAGTAGCGACCGAGCTTGCTGGCGTGCTGCTTCTTGGGGAAGACACCTGGGTGACGTTTGATGTAGTGTGAGACAATGCTCTTCCTGCTGAAGGCCTGGAAGGCACAAAGAGAACACTTTCGTCTCTCCACAGCCAAACGCAAGTCTTCACTCATTTCGGAATTGTCCCCTTCCGACGGCGGGGGTGCGATCACTTTGTTGGGCATTTCGGTCATAGTCTTGGAAGCAGCCAGGCAGTGGGTGTAATAGGCGTCGATATCGTGCCGTTTCTGGTAATGTGCCGCCAGACCTTTGCGTATGGGGTTTGTGTATGAACACAGAGCACATTTGAAGACATTGTTTTTACCCTCCGGCTGAGCTCGGACGTTGTTGTGCTTGATACGGTAGTGACGGGCGATGCCTTTCCGGGTGGAGCAGAAGTATTTGCAGAGCTGACACTTGAATATGGCGTGTTTCTCTTGCTTATTGATGGGTAACTGGGAGAGGGCAAGGTCCAATTCACCGACCTCCTGGACCTTTGCCGCGCTTGACGTATTACCAGCGCTGCATTCAGCCACTGGCTCGCTCTCTCTACCGGGAGAGAAATACGTCAGAGAGGGGGCGAACATTTCAGAGGCCGACTGATTGTGGTATTTCTCGTAATGGATTTTGAGTTTCTCAAGTGTCCCATGCGTGTAGGGGCAGATTTTGCACCTGTATGCTCCGTAGCCTTGCCTTTGAGTTTTGCACTTGTCTTCTCCTTCATTTGTGTCCCCGATCTGCTCAATGTCATCTGCAAAGTCCTCCGCGGTGACTTTGACCAACGGGTGTCTCTTCTGATAGTGAGTCAGGACCCCGTGGATTCGGGAGTTTACGTACGGACAGTGACGACATTTATACACAGAGCTGGGGTTGATGTCTGCCTCCTGTGCAAAATCTGCAGCTTTGACCTTCATACCTGGGTGCTTCTTTCCGTAGTGAGTGAGCAGGCCGTGGAGACTGTTGTACTCGGACAGACACACGGTGCACTGATAAGGATTGTTGGAGATGGAAAGACGTGGGTGGGGCGGATGGGGATTGCTTTCTTGAGGCGTGGTGGCCATGGCCTGTGTCAAATCGTCGTCAACCGATTGGCAATTGAAAGACATGTGTTCGTTGGCAACCACCTGTTGTGTGTCTTCGGCCGGCCCGTTTCCTTTGATGATATCCAAAAGCACGGATTCATCGCCTTTAACGGCCCACGGGTGCACTACCTGATAGTGACTCGTGATGTCCCATATGGTGCAGGCCTCGAAGGCACAGTCTCTGCATTTGTAATGTTTAGTTTCCATATTGCCGCCTTGCTGAGTGGTCTCCGGTCCAGCCCACAGCTTGCTGGCCATGTACGTGTAATCCACATTGTGCTCAGGATGGCGTCTTTGGTAGTGGAGCAGCAGGCCTTGCGGTTCGGCGTGGGAGTAAATGCACCACTCACAGTGGTAGCCAGCCTCCAGGATGCCATCTTGGTAAGCCCAGTGTAGAATGGTCATGGCCGTTGCTTTCACAGTGGGGTGCTCTTTCTTCAGATGCTTCTTCAGGGCGTAGACGTAGGGCGACGTGTACGAGCAGTGTCTGCACTTCAGGGAGCGCAGCGGCGTAGTGTTTTCGGGGTCCGGCGGTGCCGGGATGGAGGCGGACGAGACGCTGCTCGACTGCACCATCTGCGCGCGCTCGCGCTGACTCCGGACGACGGCGGTGTGGCGACGCACGAGGTCAGCGTTGGCCTTGGTTTCCCTGTGCTTCTTCTGGTAGTGGATGAGCACGCCTTTTACGGTGCGATTGCCGTAATCACAGTGCTGACAAAAAAACAGCTCATCCTCCCCCTTCTCGCCACTGCCGGGCTTGGGGCTGGTGTTGTTCGATCCGTCGTGACCGTTGTTTTGGAACTGCTTCAAAAACTGTTTGGGGGTCGCAATTTGCAATTCGTCCATCAATTTCATCAAACCGGGAGTGGGAGCGCCGTGTTTGATGTATTTCGCCGTCACTTTTACCTCCGGGTGTCTCTTTTGATAGTGGACCAACACACCCACCACAGATCTGTTGCTGTACACGCAGTGTTTACAGTAGTACATCTCTTCATCCGATCCGTACAGTACGGCGCTCTGTTGTTTTGGAGGCGTGGCCATGTTGAGATTGTACGAGGAGTTGGCGACAGGCTGCGACTGATCCACCGAGATGACCTTCATGGTTTTCTGTATACGGAAATACGACGCCTTTTGCTCCGGATGTTTCTTCTGGTAGTGGACCAACACGGAGTGCATGTTGGGGCTACCGAAAGAACACACGTCACAGTCGTACACGACCACGTTGCCATCCACGGATTCTTTGAGAGGGTCCGCCTCAGCGCCGGGTTCGGGGGTCTTGGAGACCGCTTTCGGCACCGGGCTGGTGGAGGACCTCGGGGTTGACGTTGGAGAATTCAAATTCTTCGGGCCGGAGTTCAGTATTTCCCTCAGGGTTTGGGATTCACCCGTTTTGTGGGACTGCTCCACCACGTAGCTGGAGAAGATCATTGCGTTGTTGATTTTAACCGTCGGGTGCATTCTTTGGTAGTGGGGCATCAGGCTCCTGACATTGGGGCTCGTGTATGAACAAAAGCGGCACATGTACACCAGATTTGGCTGGTTGAAGTTGAGCACGTTGCTTGCTTCCGGGTGGTGATCCATGTAGTGTTGATGCAGATCATTGTAATTTGTGTATTCAATGAAACACTCCAAGCAGCGGAAGACCGCGCTCTGGTCCTCGGGGTCCAGGATGTACTTAAAGCTGAACTTGATGTAAGGGTGCATCCTCTGGTAGTGGGTGCTGACGCTACGGGCCGACTTGTTGTGGTAATCACAGTGTTTGCAGTAGAAACGCGTAGTTCCTGGAGCCTCCGAATAATCGGCGTTCTCTTGGATAGCACCGTCACCGGGGTCAGCGGAGATGTTTTCACTGTCGTCTGAGAGAGTCAGTGATATGGGAATGTTTCTGGGTTTCGACTTGGGGTTGCTTTTTCTTTTCCCTACCCGGCCCCCGTCGTGAGAGATCATCGACTCACTGGCAAGAAGGTGTTGTGTGTTATAAGTGAAGACTGGGTTTACGTGGTTTCTACCCTCTTTATCAGCACCGGTGTGATTTTCTCCATCTACATCATCCATGTCATCTAGGTTTATGATCATGTCCTGTTGGCTTTGGCTAATCTTACTTTGAAGGTTACTGGCAATTTCATCAATTCTGGTCCTCTTCTTCACCGAGGACAAATCCAAAGGCAAGTCGTTGATGGACTTCCTGGCTCTTTTCCCCGTTACTAAGGGCTTCTTGGTGGCGAGTCCTAAAATCGAGGTCTGGGTTTTTTGCAGAAAGATCGGAGAAGCGTCCACTTCAGAGTCCGGCTGGTCAGTCAGCTGGCTCTCAAAGACGGCGGGCTCCAGGTCATCGCAGTAGGAATGCTTATGCTGCTGGTGGACCCGCAGACCCTTCAGAGTGGTGGTGGAGAAGCTGCACAGCGTGCAGCGGTGAGGGTTCAGCTGGTCGTTTGGTGTGCTGGTTATTTTTTTCCCGTTGACTTTGGAGCTTACGTTACCCCCGTTGACGGGCTCTGCGGCGTTGTCGTTGAGGGTCTCTTGACTGTCACTCGTTAGGTCCATGGAGTCCAGATCGGAGGATATGTGGCTCTGTTTGTGCGTGCCTAGCTTAAGAGGGCTGGTGCAAATAAATGGGCATTCATCACATTTATACACGGTAGTTTTACCAGAAAGGTGAATGTTTTCAATGTGCCGGGAGATGCTTCGCCTGTGCATGGTGAGGAAGGAGCAGAAAGGGCACTGAAAGCGGTTCATGTACTTTCTAAACGGTATTCCTTTAGTCTCCAGTAGTTTATTGTCCTCGTCAGTTAAAAGCTGCTTTGCGTCTGCGGACAGGGTCCCAGTATAGCTGGGATCGTCTATGTCGCCCAGCTCTTCTTCGTCGTCGTCATTCTCTAAGCTGCTCTTTGAGTCTTCTTCATTGAGCAAGTTGGCGTCCGCCTCGACGACGCTGTTGGAGATGTCAGACTGCGTGAACCTCTTGGACAGAATGGAGGAGCCTGTGCTGTTGGGTGTTGCTGCAGTAATGTCTGCGTACTGAAAGGATGAGACGTCTGCGACGGACTCCTCCGACAGCTTTTCCACAGTTTTTCCTCCTGGATTTGCCTTTCCTCGAACCTCAGAGAAACCCACCTTTGACCTATTCTGGCTCCGGGGAGCGGAGGGAGAGCCTGGTATGGGTGAGCTTGCACTCTCCTCCCCTTCCAGCTCCTCAACGCAGGACACTATCTTGACCTTGTCACTGTGTTCCTTCAACACGTGACCGGTCCAGCTCTCCTTCTGGTCGGTCTGATAGTCGCACCATTCACAGGCAAAGGTTCCTTTCGTGAGTCCACCGGCGGAGTCGGATTCCTCTCCGGTCGATTCCTCGCCGGTCTCATCGAACGCTGGAGGCTCCTCAGCGCTCTCTGCGGGAACCTTATTGTGATACATCAGCTGGTGTTTCATCATTCTTGCTTTGCGTGGAGACTGGTACGTGCAATACTGACAGGAGAACACTTTTGAATTGTCACTGCGCATAATAACGGTGTAGCTGGGCTGCTCGGCGCTCTGCGAGGAGACACTTGCATCGGAGTCCTCCTCTGCGTCGTTATGCACCTTTTTGGTGTGGTTTCTTAAGAAGGACTTGGATCTGAAGTAACGGACACAGAACTTGCACTGGTAAAACGGCAGGTGGGTTTCAGCGGTCTGCCTTTGTGGTGTTTGGTTGGAATTGTCAGTAGTATTGGGGCCTAAAAAAAAAAAAAGATGAGAAGATGTGTGACGGAAGGAAAACGTGTAACATTTAAACATTCTGTTGTGTCAGTCTTTAAAACTAGCATTTTAATGCTTCTCAATAAAACATAAAGTCGTCCTACTTATAGGAAACAAACAGAAATAATCCTCCACAAATGAAACGGTAACATCCGATTTGATGTGGAGGACGTACTCATTCCAGCTTTAGGAGTCGAATAATCCCGGTCACCCTTGCCGTCATATTCCTCCGCTTGCTCGTCGTCATCGTCGTCCTCGTCTTTCAGCGAGTCGGACTCCTCTGCATCTGCAGGCTGCAGGAACACCGTGTGCACTTCCTGAATGTGGGTCTTTAAGTCATCATATGACTCGGCACGGAAGTCACAGCTGTCACACTGCAATACCTCCATCACTGAAAAAGGGGAGCGCTCCCTGGAAAATCAGGGAAACCTGCAAAGAAAATGAGAAAATGTCATGAGGACATGCAGTATTTCCCAATAAGTACACAGCAGAATGCATATCTAATAAGAAGGCTGTTGGAAATAAAAGTTATTATGGCAGTTGTGTTAAAATATTCATGGTAGCCATTTGCAGCGCACGGTACAAGGTATTTACTCTGGCATGAAGTATTTACAGAGCTATTACAATGCATGAATGATATTATTCCATAATGCTTCAATATTCAGTGTAGCGATAACGCCCTTCCATAAAAATTGGTGATGATCTAAAATGATTACCAGTGGCCATTCCTGCTGTGAGCAAATAATAAGCAAGTGCAGGATGTACATTTTTCACATAACAAGTAAGACGATGGCAGAAAAAACATACAAAGCTGAAAATTCTAATGAACACGATCATGATACTTCAAGTGACATTATGTCACTAAATTATGGTACTAAAAGCAATATTCACAAAAATGTAATAAAAATGACATATTTCATTTATGTGAAGCAGCATTCTGTTGAATCATTAAGACAAAACAACCCACATAAAAGAATCAAAATGAAATTATATTCAATCTCTCGAACTGCTGACAACCGTCCGCAAGCAACAGTAGAAATCCTCACAAAACATGATAAAGAAATCAGCAGATGCTGATGTTACTCTCAATACTAAGGTGGTCTCATTTTTGAGCATAGCATCATTCTAAGAACAATGGACAACTGAGGAGGGATTATGGGCCGATTTGTCCCATTTTTATTACCTTGGGATAAGCAACAGCTGGAGAGCAGCTCCACGGCTCAGTATTTAGAGCAGACTATTGCATCCGATTGTATCAACTGCTCTGAAATAAGATTGAATGAAATCAACGGAGGGATGAAAGCTTTGTGTCTTTGGGCTTCTCTGCAGTTCGGGCCGTCATTCCACAGCTGTTTCATCAACGCTTCCAATGGTCTTACAGTTGCGCAAACGATATATCATCACAAATCGCATTTGTAGGTCGCACTGGTTGTGAGATGGGTGTTTGAGGGCACACTTATTGACTCCCAAAACTCATTCGTATGTTTTGGCTAATTTTGAGGAAGACATTATGTCTTGGTGTTAAATGTAAATCCAACCAAAGAAACTTAATGGTCCACTTGTTGAATTTTCTTAAAGGGGAATCAACACCTTTTAATGTGTACAAGAACTCATGTGAGCTCTCACATCCAAGGGGCTTATACCCCATGCACAAGGATGCAACCTGCCATGGGAAACCTCGGGGCCGTTGATTGCTCTCATTAGATGCGTGATGGTCCGAAAGCATGAGGCAATTTTAAGTGCAGCCTTTGGTTACAGATGCACGTTTTCCCTTCTCAAAATGAGTACATGCACAAAGCACTAGATGCATTCAAAAGTGCTTCTATGAGCACCTTCCAGGTATGAATTACATTTGCTTACAATATAGAGGGACTGGAGAGTCTCACGCACTAAGGTCTCGAGTATTGTAAACATATTGTGTTGAAAACTGACAGCCACTTCTTTCGAGTACTTATTAACACATATTCCTTTGTGTATTCTATTAGGCAAAGACGGAAATTTGTATTCAAAAGGGGATTAATGGTTCACACTGTCAGCATGACCCTTTGTGGATCCACTGTTCTTAATGAAACACGTCGACATCACAATACGGCATATTTATAATCCAACTAAATCCTATTTTAGCAGAAGCATCGGGTCTCCTTTTATTCGCGCTGAAATGCCGGGAGATCCATCAGCGGCTGATAAAATCACAAAACATTGTCATCCTATAAACCAACACTTTAATTAAGTTACACTCTTACAACAGCAGATCAAGCAGCTGTAGAGCGAGAGTGGGATAACATGAATTATTAATATAATCATTAGGGCATTGACTTTAAGAGAGAACACATTTATTTTATTCAGTTTAAAATTGCAATTAAATCTACTAAAATTCAGTTGAAAGTACGTCATTGTTATATTACATTATCTCAAATGGAATGAGCGGGTTGATCAAGGTTACAAATAACTAAAAAGGTTGTGATCTAAGAGGAAATACGGTTCATCATGCTGTGTGTTGCTTGAGTGTTGTGTTGTTGGAAAAAACGAAAATTCAAATTTATAGAAAACGTGTTGGCACCATGTTCTCATTCCAGCTTGTCTCACAATGCTTGGTTAGACCCGACACTACGACGCTTCACTACGGTCACATTAAGCAGGAGGCTTATTTTGGGAAACCCCCCCCAAAAAATACCTCCTTTGGTCTTTGGGGACAAACCCAGGTAGTTCAGGTAGAAAAACATCACGGTTGAGTACAAGAAGATAAGCACGTAAACTAACCACAGAAGACGGGTGACAAACGCCCGCAGAACAACGCAATTAAAATCAAATTCCCGTCTACAGATCTGGATTTCGAGTGCGATCCGTGCCTGAGACGGCGGGGATTCCCGCGCTGCTCCCCGCGCCCAACTGGCCGGCCAGCGCGAGCTCCGCGTGAGCGAGCTGCCAGTATCTCCCGAGCACCAGGGATCCATTGTGTCGTGTGTGTGTGTGTGGGGGGGGGGGGGGGGGTCTTTTTAGGGGTAAAGCCCCCCCCCAGGGGCCCCCCCTGCTTCCTTGGGAGGTTTGAAAAAAAGTTGCCCCCTGACCCCAGGTTCCTTGACATGGATATCAAGGAGGATCTTTTCTCAGAGAATGGCCGAGGAATGAAAAGAAACAAAACACCCACATTCTCCTTTAAGAGTCGCCTGTGTTTTTTCGCCCGGTCAGTCCCAGTAAACGGGGGAGATCGCGTGGCTGTTTTCATTTATTCAGCGGGGGCTCCACCAGGCAGGGACTGACCCATTCAGATGTTCTTTTGTTCCGAGTTTCAAGGGCAGCCATTTTAGGAGCCGGCTACGTGCGCTTTAGGTGTTCAGCACAACATGGACCCACAGATCTGATCCTCTTCCTCGGGGGGGGGGGGCAGCGGCCGCCTGACACTGGAGAGCCGCCGACAGAAATCTATCTGCCAGATGTACGGTTCTGTGCCCGAGCCCTCTGCCCCGCACAAAGCTCTCGCAGAAAACATCTCGCACCTCTTGCCAGGCCAACGTCGCCCCGGTCCTTTCATCTCCCACGGGACGACACACGTCTCACGCGGAGGGATTTCCAGGCAACCGAATCCCCGGGTTTTCAAAGGATAGGCCAGAGCCAAAAAAACACCCGGCAGTAACTGCCTGCCAGGTTCCACAAGGGGCTCTAGATATGTGAGGTATGTCTGAACTTCTTTATCTCAGAGCTCTGAAACCCCTGGGGACAAGAGGGCAGAGAGAGAGGGAGCAGAAGGAGAGCGCAGGCCCTGACGGGGGAGGGGGAGCATGACAGAGCCACCTGGAATACCTCGGAAAGGCGGCCCGAGAGGACAAAGCCCGGGCTCCCCGGATTCCAAAGTCTACCGCCGTTTGTTAATCACCAACCGGTCTCTCTGCATCGGCGAGCTCTGCCGGCGGTCACGCCCTCCGCCCAAACCGGCTGACAGCAGCTGCTCCGTCTGAAAAGGAGGGCCTTTGAATGCGCCGGCATTAAGCTGATTAAGGCCACAGAGGTTTCTTCTTTAGCGGTTGGCGAGCGCCGCCACCTCATGTCGTCTGTGAAGGGGGGGTAAATATTAGCATCCTGCCTCCAGATCATTTGTCTGGCACACAAGACGGGACGTGCCTCTCGTCAACCTGCGCACCCTCAATTTATTTGAGTTTAAAATGACAGCCGGCTCTTCCAGTACAGTGGCAATAACAGTCAGGTAGCAAGGAACCTGGGCAATTGATTTTCTTTCGCTGATAGGAGATGGCAGCGTCAGAGAAAGATCAATACATTTTTAGTTTGAAGGAAGACGAGCAAAGGTGAACGTATCAGACGCTTTCGTTCCTCAGAGCACGTTCCTCCCCAGGTGCGTCCTGAAAAGAGGGCCGCGGAGAAAGAGCTCATTTACCGCGTCTCGCCAAAGAGGAGAGAAGGTTGCGTCACCAGGCAGAACTTGGCCTGGCGCACAAACCCGCGGAGCCGGGGGAGGTGGAGATCTAGATGGCTACACCCTTCCGCTGATGTCATCAAGGAGAAGACGACGCACCGGATCTGATAAGAGACTCAACAGTCACTGATACACACGTAACACACGGCGTGATGTGATACAACACAGTAGAGCCTCAAACAAAACGATCAAAGGGTTGAGAGGGCAGCGCTCAGACGTGGAGGCGCGGTTTTGTTGGGGTTCTTTGGTATTTGCGCAGGTGTTTTGTCGGTCCACCAGCTCGGTACAGACACACGTGAAGCTATACAATGTGCACGCATGTCAAAAGCAACGCATTTATGATATGAATCATGGACTAAAACAGTAAAAAATTGGCTTAGAACACCACGACCAAAGAGTCAGCATGTCTGTTCAATCCCACTACAACTGTAAACTTCAGAGGGTTATATCCAAAAACCTGGCTTCAGAATCATGTTTTCGTGGCCGAAGTATCTGCTAGTACCTCATCAACAATTTATTAACTTTTAAACTTGGGGCAGTGCCGCTGCGAGCTCCCACAAATAACACGTTACCACCGTTCTTTGTCAAGAGCGACGGCCTTTTGGCTTTCAACTCGACCATCGGGGGGCCGGACGCCCGATTCATCGCAGTGACCGTTGAGCGAGAGTCACTCACGGTGCTCCCGACAGAGTTAAATATAAACGGCTAACCGGCGTGTAGAAACTGACACGGCCCGCCGCTTGTTTCGTCCCGGCGCTCTCAAACATTCCACATTACTTCCAGCGGGTGTAATCACTTTACCTGTCATACGGTTAATTATGGAAATCTTGTACGACGGGGCGACAGGGACGCTTGCGGCTGACACGAACGCACCTCTGGCTGCACATCAACAGCTTTTGCAGCGCTTTGCTGGGATTTTTTTATATAAATGTACAGTAGGAGAGTGAAATGAAGTGGGTGAATAACTAATATTCAGATTTATTAATAATCTCATCGACGGGAAAGAAATCAATGCCTTTGTCCTTTCTCAGTATTAATCGGTCAGTCGGGCCCATTGTTCCACTATAAAGCACATTCCCTGCCGTGAAATATGCCAACTTGTGACAGGATGCTGCAATAGAATAATTCAATGCTATAATGCATCTGGTCATATGACAATGAGCAGCTGTGCACACACACACACACACACACACACACACAGAAGCAGTAACATCACAAGCTAATCGGTCCTAAATACTTTTCTTATATTGTAAATATGTTGGTCAAACTTGCTCGTGATGCATTTAAATGAAGAACTACTACTTAAAGCCCGCGAGGCTCTTTTTCAACATCACCTGTCTTCATCACAGTGTGACGGCATTTTGGGAGCTTCAGGGTCTGAAGGCTCAAATCATTGTTCTGAAATCCGCCGGTGCAAGTTGGGGCCAAGTCAAGAAGCAGCAAGAAATATTTATTTTGGCACCAATTGTTAATCTCACCGTTTACCAGATACAACTTTGAACGCAGGGGAAAAAAAGTGAGCGACGGTTCGGGTTTCAGAGTTAACATTTTTGTTTTATCTACTCATCCCTCTTTGCGTGTCAGATTTAGATTAGTCTGTTGTGGAGATCATCTACGGCTGTGCATTTTACAATATCACAGTTACAATGTTAGAATATTACAGCATGTTGTAGATTGAGCCCCTTAGCAGAACAATTACCACAAATTTGATTGTCATTGAGTGCAGTGATTGTGAAACATTAATTGGACAGACCTCACGTGGTGATGCACAGTTGAGGATAAACTGTTTTTTGAGGAACAGACTAGAGTTGATTGGTCAGTTTCTTAATTGACAGAAATTAATTGGCTTTAGAACAATGTTGACATTTCACAGACCACCAACAGGTAAAAAACATGATTGACAGATTTATTGATCGTCAAAGATGTTATTGGTGGCATCTCTAGACACACAGTGCTGATTTGTATGTGCTCTCTGCCTGAAAAAAATGTACAATGCAGTGAGCTGCTGACAGACACGGAGGGTCGGGACCGCTGAGTCACTCCTTCCACGTCTGCATGAAATCCTAACACACCAGGTCTATTTGAGCTGTAGCAAACGCACTCGACCTTAGTGCCCCTTTTAACCACGGGGAATCTGCAACTACTGCACATACCAGTTTATTACATGTTTTCTTTAAAGAAACTATTATTTCAATTAAATTCAAAGCAATAAATATCAAGCACATTGATATAAAGTTGTTCCCATCCACGCTTGCACCCCCACTGTAAAAATGTTCCTCTTTTGAAATGCGCAAAAAAGGGTGTTTATTATATATTATATGTCCCAGAACCCAAAGTAGGCAAGACTTAAAACTTTGTTTTATCCCGTTGATCCAAAGCCCAAAGACAAACCATATAATATCATACATGACAAGAAAAACAGCTAATTGGCATATTTGAGAAACTTAAATACACCAGAATAGAAAATGTTCGGCTGTCTTGTAGTAGAATTATTATTAAATAACAAATGAATAGATGCATTTGACTTTTTTAAACATGTGATGAACAGGTTAAATACATATGTATCTGCGTGTGACCAGACCTGAGAGCTTCCTTAAACTAGTGATCCCATTCTGCTGCTTAATTGAGAAGGTCTGGATACACAGAGATGAGAAATTGATCCCACCTGGTGGATCAATGGACTGGAGCCTTTTCAGAGGAGATGTGAAAAATCAATAAGGTTCAGTACCAACTTTTTGTCATAACATTCATCAGTATACATCTGCTGGAATGGAATGATGGGGAGGCGAATGTCAAAAAACACAACGGAGGAAAAATTGAAATCAGCAATGACATCCGGCTTGTTAACCGTTATATATTTGAACACACATGTTTAGACATACGTGTTTTAATTTGTGTCATTTCACGCCTAAAGTAGGAATCTCAAAATTGCTTAAAATCTGACAACAAATTGTTTTCAGGAAGCAGACGACATCAACAAAAAGTAGGTCAGCCATTAACCAGCTAAGAGTGCTTGAACCACAAACATGTTTCTAGCGTCATCTTCTATCCATCCAACTGATAGGAAGGTTTTTGCTAATTAAGTCAAAGGGCATATTCATAAGACATAAAACGCACCCTGGATTAGTTAAACACATTTAAGGGTTTAGCCTTCTTTAGCTCGCGGTGGCTAATGTTAGCTCACGTTAGCCAACTTGGAGCCTCAGTGGTTGCACCATCAGGTGACGGGAGGTGCTGCCATTCAGCGTACAGTAGAAGACGCGACGAGTGTGCTCTCGGGCGCGGCTATTTGTGGATAACAGGTTGCAACCGCACAGTTATTCCAGTCCAGCCATGTAAAAACTTTGGGAGGCCTGAATATGCCGCCGCCGCCGCGCGGGGCAGTAGGCGTCGTCTGACACTCGGTATGCAGTAGACTGCATTTTCTAGGAATTAAGACGCTTCTTTGGTTTCGTCAAATCACAGGTTCCACTTTTCCTGTCATGA